TAATATGGTACATTTCTGACAAGAAAACATTTCAAAACTAAGACTCATAGGAAAGATGTTTTCTGTTTTGAGTCTTAGTTTTGAAATGTTTTCTTGTCAGAAATGTACCATATTAATTGTAAACATCTGTACAGATTCAATTTTTAGATTTAATTAACCATCAACAAAATGTCATTGCTATTTAATTTTTTACCAGTTCTTCCTGTGAATATAGAGCACAGAAAAGTGATTCCAGGACTTTCTGGGAAAACTATCAAAACTAATTGCATTCAATCATTTGTTAGTTAAGTATATGACTTGCATGACGTGTTTTCCAATTTATTCTGCTTTTGTGAAGTAGTTTATTGAAATGTCTTTAGAGTTAAATGTGACTTACTTTGTGAAGACCTTATGTGCATAGCACAAAATATATATTACTTTTTAAATGAATTGGCAATTCTTATTTCATGGAACTAGGCACTATTATGTACTTTGTACCATGACTGATTTGTTATATAAATTGCACTTATACAGCTTGACTAATTAAGGAAGTGATGTGAAGAATTTCCAGCTAATAAATCAGGAGTGTAATAATCAGGATTGGTGAAGCATCTGATTTTTATGCGAGTGCTGGTAGTTTCTATTGCTGAGCTCTCTAAGTAATGGTATGTATTTTGTGTTGGAAGTGATACAGGGTCAGTAAGTGAAATGAGGATGATTCAAGCACTATTAATTTTTACTAACATTACCAATAGTTAATATTTTTAGTGCTTTTTGAGCTAGACTTTGTTCAAATTTGTATGTATCTAAAATGAGCAAGAACTCTCAAGCTGAAATAACATTTTGCAGCTTATAGCACACAGGCTTCCTCACTTGCTGTTGCCCCAATCTTGACTAGAATAAAGCCATAAAAACTGCTGAGGTTTATGCCAGAATTTTGAGCTAATGTTGGGAAATTTCAGACTTCAGCTGTAACTCTATATATTTTGTTGTAAACTGACAGTCTGAATCGAACACCAACTACTGAACTTGTTCAGACTGACCTCTCTACACCAGATAGCATCATTGCCTGGAAGTGCCGAAGACAAAGCAGACATCATCTGTTGGGTAGGGTTGCCTGATAGAGAGAGTGACTTTTTCCTTTGAAGAAAGCTAAGGAAATACTTTGAGGTATTGTCTGATTAATGAAATGTGCACCAACTAGTTGCAACACAAGATACAGTAAAGCAATTAGCTGATTAGTTCAGAAGTAAAGTTTCTACTTTGTTGAATAGAGGTGTTGCACCTGCCTTTCCTATTCGTCTTTCTGAAGTTATTTTTCAAAATAACAAGTAATGAAGAAGGGTACTTAAATTTTATAATGTACTATGTGGCCTTTTTAGCTGCAGTTTCTTTAATGTAACTTGTAATTTATCTTGTAAGTAAACTTCAAAATCTGAAGTTTTGGAACTGAAACCATGCTAGATTTTGGATTTTGCGGAATTTGGGGTGGGCGTCTTATTTAGTGAGCCAAGCGAGGTTTGGTGGTATTGAAGGATATTTTATACATGTGGGTAAGTGTATTGCTGCATAAAGAATGAAAACATAATTGTGGTACCTTGTAGTATCACCTATCTGAATTGTTGGGTGTTGGTTACCTCAGATAGCTGGATGGCTGGTTTGTAAAACAGAATGATATCACAGCACAGCTTCTGTTCCCATATTGATTGATGTTAGCATGAAGGTCCCACCTCCTCAACCTCTCTCCTTGCCTGTGACACTTGGATTAAACTATCACCAGTTGTCTCTCTAATGAGAGTGCAGGTCTGTGGTCCTCTGGACTTCATCTGAATTGTCTAGGTAGGTTGATAAAGTTAAAAATAAGCTGTGTTGCACATTCTAACAATATTTTTCAAACAATTCCAGTTTTTGGACTGCAGTACTTGAGAGAGTGTTCCTGTATTTGACATGAAGACTAAGTGATTGCTGGAAAAGCTCAAGGAAAATCCAAACGTCTACCCATCTTCTAGCAGTTGGTTACATTGCATTTTTAGATAATTGTCTGCCAATCTCTAACAGGAAATGATGAGCTTATGAGTTAACTTAAATAGTAATTGTCAAGTAGTTGGTGAAAAAAGTAGTTTATAGTGTATTTTTACCCTTGTCTGTTCCTGTTATTTTACTTCTGAGTGATGTTACCAGGGACAAATCTACATACTATTTAAAACAAAATTGTTAATTTTTTGTTTGGTTCTGTGACAGAATTTCAAATTTTTACCTTTTACTGTCTTCTGATGTTATTTTATTTTATCTTCAGGAATACACATGTCCAAGATGTGACTCTGGTTTCATAGAAGAACTACTCGATCAAGTACCAAGGTAAAACTACATCTTTGTACAGCAATGTCGTCACCAGGATTTAATTATTTTAAAATGTAAGAATTTCAAGAAATATCTGTAATATAATGTCCCATATGCAATAAGATTACAAGTGGATTGGCTGAAAAATCGTAACCTAATAGTAGAACTGTGATTTGCGCCTATGAGTGTCAGAAGCAAATCTAGCTGTGTAATTGTGAATGACAGACTGACTGCATTTTGTTTGGCACCAAGAAAAATTACAGATTAAGCTACCTATTGCATGCACAATGATATGTTATTAAGTGCTGAACTTTATTGCAAGTACATGTTAGGAACGAGCACTATGTAGGTCTTTGAATCCCTTTTGACTTGGCATACTGTTATACTAGTTACAAACATGATTGATGTCCTTTTAAAGTTTATGAATGCAACTCCTGACTCCTGTGCCATTTGTTTTCTACCTTCCTACCATTTTCTCAATTGTGCAATTTTTACCCTGCTGCCTTGTGACTTTGAGCTTGCCTAGTAGATCTTTATATGGAATTTTGATGTGGTTTTTGAAACTATAGCTACTTGTGGGGTTAATCACAGTACTTGGGACACTTGATAGGGTTGGTTATGTTTCTGTCCACAGCGCTTCTAAATTCAAGAACTGCATGTTTCTTCTTTCCATTCAGCTTCAGCTAAAGTGCATAATACCTCCATATCGTACAGTGAAACTTCAAACCTTCCCAGCATTCTCAGCTCTTTCTTCATTGTAGCACCCTACACCAATAAATCTGTCTCCATTAATACGATTTAGTATAGTACCCTTGGTCTGGTTTAAAAAAAAAGTCTGACAGACTGAGCGATATCATGGGTGATTAGTTAATATTTGTTTTGTGTATAGTTCTTCAAAGTACATTTTAATTTTTGTTGCACTGCGTTTGACCCTTCAGCATATCCTCTGACTTTCCGATGAAATCTTTGAGATCGTAATTATAGCATACAGACGGTTGAAATATGTTGTTTCAAAAATGAGTGACATTCGTTTGTGTTCAATTGCAGAACATTTGCTGTTTAGTGAGGGAAATTTGTAGATTGAGCTGGAAATTTAAAGGCATTGTCCACACACTTTACTCTCTCAAGCAATTAAGCTGTTCTAGGACCAGAGGGGACAGTCTCAGAATTAAGGACTGCCAATTTAAGACTGAACTGAGGAGGAATTTCTTCTCTGAGCGACTTTGAAAGCCCTTGCTACAGAAAGCTATGGGGCAGAGTCCTTCTGTATGATTAAGGCTCTGATAGTAGCAGATAGTAAGGTAGGTAGGTAGATTGATTCTTGATTAATAGTGAAATCAAGGGCGATGGAGAAATGCCAGGAAAATTTACGTGAGGAATCAGCCACAGTCCTAGTGAATGACAGAGCAGGTTCTAGGGGGCTGAATGGCTTACTCCTATTCCTATTTCATGGTCTTATTGACAGATCTCTGGTTTGTGCTTATTTAAACATGTTGGTAAGTTTTGGAAAGACAAGCTGGATAATTGTAGCTTCGACGTTGTACTAAATAACCCAAAGCTGCTGTTCTATCATTTTAAAGCACATTGTTCACAGTAAGTTGGAATGATATTGGGGAGGTTGCTATTCTGGAAAAAATTTAGTCTCTGTACCAGAATACATTTGCTAACTGCTAGAGAGAATACATTCATGTTAATGTTTCTAGCTTATAGTTAATTTTCAGCACACTTTCTGATGGAGCTAATTGAAGTATTTTTACTGAATTTTCATGTACCCATTGGAAATGATGCTTAACACCAGTGGGCTGGCAAGTTACTGCATAGCAGGCAAAGCGTTTTCATCATACTGAATTAGTTTATCATAAGATTGTAAAACAGATTATTTTCAAACGAATGGCTTAGTGTTTTGAGAGGCCTTCTTTTTATTCTGCAAGAAAAAATCCATGCGCTAATCTGGTCATTGGCTGCTGTTTTCAGTCTTGCTATACTTTTGAATACCATGGAATATCCTAATGCAAGAATTGTCCAAGAAGGTACAGCATAATTTGATCACTTATTTTCTAGTAATTGTGATTGCATTTCATAAATGACATGTTTCTGTTCTCTTGGCACAGATATGTTGTAGCCAAGAAAGTAGTTAGATACTTTCAAAGCTGCTTCATAATTTCTGTTCAAACTGAGTATTTAATATGACTCTAATTTTTGTGTCTTAGTAAAGCTATATCCTTTGTGGTATTACTGCATTATGGGCTAGATGCTATTGTGCTGAGAGTTGATAGAGAAAGCAAATTCTACACACATTGAAAGCTTTGCAGCCTTGTACAGTGTTGTTCATGTCCTACTTAATTTTCTGCTTATCTTGCCTTTTCCACTCTCCAAAAATAAAATTTCTTTCAAACCACGTCAAAAAAAAAGTCACTTGGGGTGAGGTGCTGGAAGGCAGATATCGCATCAAACTGCAGGGCAGTTCCTACCTTCAGGCTGGGAAGCGTACAGAAATTGGAAGAAAGATAACTGCTTTGTCATGGAATTGGCTCAGCAGTTGGATTAAAGCTGTCAATATTTATATATTAATTCAAATTGTCTGGCTTAGGATCTAATAAGGTTCAAAAAGATTAGTCATTAATGCATTTTCCATTTTGCCTGTTGAATATTCAACTCCAGTGTTCATAGCTAGTAGAATGTGAAGATAAGAATGCCTGACGTGATGCAGCTCATCATCTTGAGAACTGACAAGATTGTGTCATTGCTGATTGTTCACATTGTGGACTTGTGTCCTTCAACTCTGATTCATCCAAGTCACCATTGAATGCTGGGTCACAGCTGATTTGCATTGTTTACAATGCATCTACTTAAAGTTTGTAACTGGAGTCGATTGATCAGCTTTCTAATGAGTTGGGGAAGCCAAAATAGCAGGTTCCTAAGTGTGTGCATTATGACTGAAGGTCTTGCCCCCTGTTTTCCTGCTTTAAACAACAACTAAGGAACTGATAAGAATTAGCTAGATCATTTTGTCAGTTCCTCTTTACAGAGTATGCTGATTGCATTGCATTTGAAATAAAATGAGCCATAAAACATTTTGTTTTAGTGAATTGGTGATCACATTGAAGGATCCTGGAAGCAGCAGATAACAATCTTCCAATGATAGGTGAACACTGAATTTAGAGTTTTTCATGGATCTTAAGGTTTTTGCACAATATATTCAGTTCTTCTTGGGAACTGTTGGGATCTTGAAATGAAAAAATGCGCAATAATTTTTAACTAAAACTGGTATTGCTAATTAGTTTTAGCCTGGTCCCTGACTTTAACCTTGAGCTCGTATGCATGAAATAGCCTGCTTTTCTTGTGTATTAATCTGTAATAACTAGTTGCAAATTCTTATGAGAATTATATATTATGACATTGCTAATTGTGCAATGTTTGGAATTCTTGTAGGAATACTGAAAATGGCTCCAGTTCAACAGCTTCCACGAGTGACCAGACTCGACAGTTATTTGAGGTTGGTAGCATGGTTTTCCAGGGTTTCAAGTTTAATCACTCTGCAGCACATAATTATCAGCTTATGAATGTGACATTTCAATTCCTGACTTGGTTTTTTGATTTTTTAAAAAATCATTGGAAGTGTTATTCTATTAACCTTTTATTAATACATAAAATCTTGTATCATCTTTTAATTCTAGTCAATGCAGTCGTATTAAAAGTATCCTTAAAATCACCTAGCTTAAATTATTACAATCTCATTTTGGAAGGATTCTGATGTAATTCTCTGAAATAAGGTTGTGGCAGTGTACCACCACTCTTCCATATCTTTACTTCATTCACATCTTACCAATCATTCTGTAATGCAGCTATAGTTTTAACTCATTAATTGTAATAACTTGTTAATAGTTATCACCTACTTTAAAAGCTTTTAATTTTGCCACAGCAAATCTGAGCAAGATTGTGAATGACAGCCTTTCCGACTAGGGCTATGGTACATTATTTTTCCCTTTCCTTATCAAATTTTCTCTTATCTTTGACATGGCCAAATGCATATCCACCTCCAATATTCCTACTCCATTGCCCAGCCTGATTTAACTCCTCCTTATTCAGCTGTAGCCAAATCCTTTCCAACAATAGTTGAGGAAGGGTCACCGGACCCGAAACGTTAACTGTGTTTTTTCCTTCACAGATGCTGCCAGGCCATCTGAGCTTTTCCAGCAATTTCTGTTTTGTTAACAAGAATGGTATTAGGTCAGCATCCTTTTCAATAATTTATGTTGATTTCTGATTCAATTTTTTGATCTTTAACCAATGGAGGATATTTTAATTTTGGTGCTGCCTAAGCTTGGCAACTGATGCTTTGTAGACCTTCAAACTGAACCATAATTTTACTGAATAAATATGCATAAAGACTACATACATTGATAAAACAAAAGTGTTTTCCTTAATGAAATCTGGCTCCTTTTCATCATGTGAGTCAATGTGCAAAGTAAAACTACATTGACAGACTTACTTTTTATTTCAGGTATTTTTATTTTTACTTTATATGCAAAAGTTACATTTGACTTTATAATTCAAGATATTTTACAAGTAATTCTGTTTTTTTAACTTAATATTTTATATCTTTGATTTCTCTTTGCAGTCCAGTTACAAAGTTTCTGGCTCTTTTGTATGTTGTTTGTTCACATTGCAAGGTACTGCTATAACAAGTTGAAATATTTAGTCATATGATGTTAGCTGATGTGGATTTGCTCTCTTTGTATTACATGGATGATGTCTAACTTGAGCCAGTTATTTTCTTTTGTGTAGCTGTTACATTCTTTTATGTTTTAAAACTTAAGATTCCAAGCCAATGCAAAATCTCATTATGCACATAACAGTTTGACCGTAGGAGGTAGAAGCAGAAGTTGGCCATTCAGCTCACAGAATCTGTGCTGCCATTCAATGAGACCGTTACTGATCTGATAATCCTAAAGTCAAATTTCCTGCCTTTTCCACAACCTTTGATTTCCTTACTGATTTAAAAATCTGTCTATCTCAGCCCTGTGTACCCTTTACAACTCAACCTTGATAGTCCTTTGTGGTCAAGAATTCTACAGAGTCACTACCTTCTGACAGAAGAAATTTCTCTTCATCTCTATTTTAATGGGCATCTCTATCTTAAATGTAAATCTCTGTTGTTCTTCGACTATGTCCTCTGATCCTGGGCAACCTCACAAGGAAAACAATCTTTCTGCATCTGCCTTGTCAAGTTACCTAAGGATCCTCTGTTTCAATAAGGTTACCTCTCATTGTTCTAAAATCCAGCAAATACAGGCTTAACCTCTCCTCAAGACAGTCTCTCCATATCTGGGATCAGAGTAGTGAACCTTCTCTGGATTTGATTCCAATACAAGTATATCTTCCCTTAGGTAAGGTTTACAAAACTGTTAGTGCTAGTGGAACTGCTGGTTCTCACTGTGGTCTGACTAGTCTCTTGTATAGTTTTAGCAACCTCTCCCTACTTTTATACTTAGTTTTCTTTGAAATAAAGGCTGACATTCCAGTTGCCTTCCCTATTCTCTGTTGAACTGGATGCTAGCTGCTTGTGATTCATGGATGAGGACTCCCAAATCTCACTGTTCTGTAGATTTCTGCAGTCTTTCTCCACTTAAATCATATTCAGTTCCTCTATTCTCCCTGCCAAAGTGCGTAACTTCACATTTTCCCACGTTATATTGGATCTGCCAAGTTTTTGCCAATTCACTTAACCTGTCTATATCTTTATACAGACTCTGTTATCAGCAAACTTGGCTGTAGTACATTCATTTTTCTCATCCAAATCATTGATATATTTTGTAAATAATTGTGGCCCCGGGAGTGATCCCAGGAACACACCACCAGTTACAGGTTGCAATACTGAAAATACCTCTTCTCCCAACTCGGTCCTCTGTTAGTTAACCAGTCCTTTATCCACACTAATTTCCTCCCTCCAACACCATGGACCCTTATCTTATTAAGTAGCCTAATGTGTGATATGTTATCAAGCACTTTCTGAAAATCCAAATATTCACCGATTTCCTTCGTCCTACTTGTTGCCTCCTTAAAGAATTCTAGTAAACATTTTGGGCATGATTTTCCTTTATGAATCTGCTGACGTTGCTTGATCATGTGTGTTTCTAAAGCTCTGCTATTACATCCTTTTATAATAGATGCTAACATTTTCCCAATAACAGACATTAAGTTAACTGTTCTATGGCTACCTATTTCTCTCCTTCCTTTCTTAAATTTAAAAAAAGTGTCTTTTTGGCAGTTTTCTAATCCTTTGAATTGTCTATAAAATTGAGTCTAAAATAAGGCAAAATATTTTTGCTATTTGTAGATGTTAGCCCAAGAGAACTTGTATGTAATACACTTTGTTCAGAGAGTTTGAGTAAGTTGATTTGAATTGGAGTTGGTTGTAACAGTGCTTAAGTTAGCCTTCGTTGTTTGTTCTTGATTTGTTATTTAATGACCTCAGCTTGAAAGTATACCTGTGAGACCATCTGGTAAGGACAGCGAAGGACACTAACAAAGACTTTTACTTCTGAGTAGCTTGCTGCCATACATTAAGATTCACAATTGAATTTTTGCTATTTGGGTAAAATGGAAAAAGGGGGCAAGCATAGTGGTAATATCTGTAAAAGGTTCGTAAATTTACCATGTTGCACCTCGAGAATACTAACGAAATTTGGAGAAAATTTGTTTTCAAATAGTACTTTTTATTGAGTGCATTTAGAGCTGAAGATTGCTGCCGTACTAAACTTTGTCAAGATTAACCCCAGAAGAAAATTTTCTGCAGCTGTGAACGTAAGGAGGTGATTGTTTCTTGGCAGTGTTTTCAGCTAATTTCTCTAATGTTACTGGTGGAAAGCATAGTCCTATTTTTTTTTTTCTCATACTGATGTTTGCATCATGTTTTTTTAAAGACTAATTAACCAAAGAATGAATGAAATTTAGGACTTCAAACCTAAGACTATTTTACATGCGTTTTTATGTCTATAATGCATTATAACAGGTTATAGTTTGGCTATCACCCAGCATTTCTTTGTCTTTACAGATTTATGCTTTTCTCCTAAGTAAATCAGATCAAGTCTCCTTTGATTTAAAATCTGCACCCATCTTCTGTACTCTAAGGATTAGTGTGCTTAGAATTGACAATTAAGCACTAACACTATTCCATAATTTGCTAAAAGACATCCAGTGTTCCCAACATGCTTATGTCACTTTTCTAAGTTTAAGCACCAAAGACATATCAACACTGTATTAATATATATTTAGGTACAATTGCTTGGTCAGAGTATTCAACAATAAATTAACCCAGAACCTATTATTATCATAACAATATATTGAATCAAGTCCATAATTTAAAGAAAATAGAATTGGCGTGTAATAGGTGGAAATACCTTGTTTTAGAATTTTGTTAATTTGGAGTTTCTAGTAAGCACAAATTTTTATCTAAAGATCCTCAGCTTTGCCAAATAAGATATTCTATATAGAGAACATAAATTTTACCATGTACCGTTGTGTTCAGATTTACTGGCAGAATGTGAATGATAGAAATTTGCTCTTGCACTTTCTCATCTTTTTGGGACAGCATGTTATCCATAATAATCTGAGTGGGTGATTAATATATGCTGTTTTTGGTTTGAGTGCTTACTCTTCTCCAAAACATATACAATTTAATTTCAGCTAGAACCAATCCTCTTATATTTTGACACATTTCTGCATCAACTACCCAAGACTTATCCCATAGGTGTTAATCTCCTGGTCTTTAATTTGCAGTTGTGAGCAAAAATCATTATTCGTTGTCGTTTGTAACGTGTATTAGGGTAAGCAGAAACCAGCAACTTTTGGCAATAATCTAAACTTCTGTAGGGGCCTAGGAGAAAATTCCGTAATTATATTTGGGAAATGTATCATTGGGGACCAAATGCAAATTTGAAAATTATTGTTTTGATGACCAGAAAATGTTTGTTCCTAATCTTCCTTTCAACAATTTTATTCACTCCAGGGTTTGGACCAGCACCTGCTTTCCTTACCACAAGGTAGTTATGGACAGTTTACATTTGGCATTCTGGATGACACCTTTGATCCTTTTTCCTTTGGAACTAACCAGACTTCAGAAGAAAATAGAGATTCTGAAAATAGGAGGGATCGCGAACACCAGTCACGGCCACGATATAGTTCTAGGCAACCCAGAGCACCCAGGTTCCCGTCACGGCGTCCTACAACGCGAAATGAAGGAGTGCCAACTCTAGAAGGGTAGGTGTTTCTCTTGAAGTTTTAGAATTAAACCAGTAGGGGGGAAAAAAACTTGAGAGGGGTTGAATTTGATACCTGTCTTGCACCACAGCTTTCTTGTAATAAAGCTTGCTGCTGTGGAAATCAGGTAGAGTGGGTATGAGTTGTTGCAAGGGTTTTACCACAGCAAGTAGATATTGAATTAATTTAAAAACATGCACTCCAAATGCTACAACTGCATTTTAGAATGTTTCTACTTTATAATAGAGGTGCGTTTTGATTCATGTGGTATTTATGAAACAGCTATGGTATTATATGTTGAATTATTCCGGAATGGAACCTACAGTTGTATGTTTCCCCTGTTGTACTTTGAAACAAATCTCCATTCAAACTTTTCTTTTGTTTATTACAGAATTATTCAACAATTGGTTAATGGAATCATTGCACCTACAGCAGTGCCAAACTTGGGATTAGGTCCATGGTAAGCTGTATTGCAAAGAAACCGAAAAGGTTTATAATGAAGTATGAATGCCTAATTAGTTAGCATTGTGACCATCTGTTTTCATTATCTGAAATGAGAAATCAAATTGATTTGGAATTTATTTCTCATTTTATGTCTTATGGCTAAGATTTTCCTGGAAATAGCAAAGGTGCATCTATATTGTTGGCTATTATTGGAACACAGATTTTACAGAAAATTATATCTGTAAATTCTCAGGAAGATCTGAAATTTGGAACTGGACGTTAACTGAGTTCCGATAACCTAATAATCGTTCTTCCGGTTAACAGAAAATTATTACTATTTTTTGGGCATACAGAATGTCTCCACAGGGTGGTTGAGCTAAAAGTTATTGAGCAATATAGTTAACTGACAGTTTTTGTCACTTTCATCACCATTTATTTTCTGCTTTGTTGTTTCATTTGAGTTTACATTTTAGTGGCAATTGTCCCATTCACCTGAGTCCATTTTGAAGATCAGAAGTGAGAAATTGATTTACATTTTAAAACTGCAATGATGAAACCAGTCATTAAATTGAATTCCAAAAGGCATTAGCTATTCTATTTCTAATTTTTCTCCCATGCTTGCTGCAGCATATTGTAATCAAAGATACAAGAAAATGTGCAGGAAGATATCCTCTACAAAGCTGGAATGCTTTGAACTTTGATGTATGTTGTGATCACCTCATGAGAAAATTCAAGTCCAAGTATTTTCTTGACACATCTTTATCAAATACCTATTGGATATGAGATTCAGTTTATGTTGGCTGTTGTCTTTGTCAACATCTACAATCTTCCTAACTGTCCTGGTCTTGACTGCATATGGACCATGCTCTAGACTTTGTCAGTCCAATGTATCAGTTAATATCTACTGGGTTGGCTCAGTTGTGGGCCTTTCTTGACTGTGTCCTTCGGTATGACTGTTGCTTTGATCCAAGTAGTTAACCTTTTGAAATGAATTGTTTTAAATGTACCCTTTAAAGTACTTCCTTTGGACAATTCATGATTTAATTTTAAGTGTTTTGGTCAGTAAATCTGGAAAGACATGCTGTGAACTGTGCAGACCAGAGTTTCTCTGATTCAGTTAGTTGAGCTAGCAGACCTATATAAATTAGGGTAAGAGATTAGTGTTGAAAAATTAATCTGTCCTTATGCAAGATTCACATTCTAATGTACTTGTCAAACAACGATACTGTCTTATCTGGATTGTCTGTGGGAATAGACACTTTGCTGAGTTGCAGATTCCATTATTTTAGCACTGGGTGAGAAAGTGGAATGAAAGTTGCTTTTTATTTTAACTTGAAAGCTGACAAGACAACCTTCAGTGTAATTGAAATTTGATTACCTTTTGCTTGTGTAATTTCTTTTAATGTAAACTTCTCTGTGCTTTATAGGGGTGTATTGCACTCAAATCCAATGGATTATGCATGGGGAGCCAATGGCTTGGACACAATCATTACACAGGTAGTTAATCTGGTTAGTGCAACTTGTTCATGTTGAAATTATAGCAAGATGTTGGATATAAGCAAAGATGTGATTGTAGCTACTAGCAGAGAAATAAAATTGTAAAAGCTTTGTAAATGTAAGTTTCAATATACAGTGAAGTCTCTACAGTTCAGTAACACCAGTTGTTGAGAAATAATTTAAACAGATCCAGCAATTTATGGCTTAATTTTAAGAAATGAAAATATGGAATGTATTGTATGATATATAAGACTATTTTTTTGTAACTGCTTTATGATGTTTTATCACTTTTGTACTTCAGATAAATTACTTATAGCTATGGTGTTTTCCAGTTCATAAATATGTGGTTAGGCATTCTAATGTAATTCCATAACCTAGAAATAACTTGATCCCAAGATAGTATGGTTGTGATTCATGAAAGAGGATACCCAGATCCCTTTGTACTGCACATCCCACAGTCTTTCTCCATATAAATAATGTTCTGCATTTTTTGTTGTTCTTGGCAATGTGGACAAGCTCATATTTATACTCCATCTGCCAATTTTTTTTTTTTTTTTTTTTTGTTAATCCACTTCACCTATCTAGATCATTTTGCAGACTTTTTGTTTTCTCTTCACCAATGAGGTTTTGTACCTTTCTTTGTATTGCCAGCAAATTTGGCTTTAATACAATCAGGTCCTTCTTCTTGGTCATTCATTTGATTGTAAGTAGTTGAGACTTCAGCAAGATCCCTACTCAATAATACAAAGTGTAGAGCTGGCAGTCTGATGCTGCCTGGCCTGTACACTTTATCTCTGACTCCAGCATCTACAGTTCTTGCTGTCTCCCTACTCAATGAGTTCATTTACCAAACTAAAACTGACCAGTTGGCCATTCTGCAATCCACACTAATATATTCCCCTTGAAAAGGTTCTATCTTGCGGTATATCATATACTTCAAAGAAATCTTATCAAATGCCTTTAGGAAAACTGAATACTCTGCTGATGCATCCTGAAAGAACTCTGATAAATTTGTCAAACACATTTGTCCTTTTCATAGAATCATGTTAACTCTGCCTAATTCTATATTAACTTTCTACATGTCCTATTTACACCTCATTAATAATGGCTTCTAGCATGTTGCAAAGAAGACAGACTAACTGGCCTATAGTTTCTGCTTTCTATCTGCATGTGTGTTGAGTAGTTACATTTGTGGTTTTCCAGTTCAGTTGGATTTTTTCAGAGAGTGGGAATTTTGAGAAATTGCAGTCAATGCATTTGATATCTCTGCAAACATTTCCTTTAATACCTTAGAATGCAGGCCTTTGGTCCAAGGGACTTGGGAACCTTTAGTTTTCTCAGTACATTTTCTCTACTGTTTGATTTAACTTCCTCCCATCTCTTAACCTTTTGTTTTTCTACTAGCTTTGAGATGTTTTCTGGGTCTCCAAAGACAGATTAAAACAACCTTGTTCAAAGCCTCTACCATTTCCTTGTTTCTCAATTCCCACAAAACTCCCATCTTTAAAGGATAAGTGAGATAACAAGATGTAGAGCTGGATGAACACAGCAGGCCAAGCAGCATCATAGGAGCAGGAAGGCTGACGTTTCGGGCCTAAGTACTCATTTTAGTTAATCTCTTCCATTTTTATATGCATGAAGAAGCTTTTACTTTTTAAAATTTTTTTTGAGTTTTTTTCCTCATCATCAAATGTCTTTTTTTTTTGTTTTAATCATCTTTTACTGGTTTCTAGTAAGTTTTCACAATCTTCTAGACTAAATTGTGCCTCATGAGAGAACAAGTTCTTGCTTGAGTCATCTATTCCAAAAATATCTCTTTAAAGATTGGGTTGATTAATCATTTTCATTATATTGCCAAAATTTCTGGCCTCAACTTGAGGGCTGCTTTAAGTAGTGAAACAAAAATCTGTACTGTTATTTTGAAAAAAGTATTGAGTCAACATCCATTCCAAATATTTCTTTCAGCTTTTTTTTTTGAGGTTTTATTCATGTGTTGGTATGTAAGATACACTGTTAAACTGCATTTGTAGATTTGAAGATATGCTGGCTTTACTGCTGAACAAATGCACCGATAAATTTATGTTCTAAAAAAAATCACTACTCTCATTTTGAGTGATCAGCTGAACAGATCATTGCAGTACCCGCAGAACATTGTGAAAACTTCTAAGCGGTTTGGCAATTTTCTTTATTCTTGGAATATGGTTGTCACTGACATTTAATGCGACTCCCTGAGTATCTTGGAGGAGATGGTGTTAGCCTGCCACCTTAAATCTCTGCAGCCTGTGCTAGAAGTTGGTACTATGTAGAGAACTCCAGGATTTTAACCCAAGAATAAGTAGAGAATACTCGGTCTTAGATTTGTGACTTGGGTAGGATCCCTGAAGATAATGCCCTTTTCTTTCCAACTGTTGAAGGTTGCAGCTTTGAGAGGTGCTCCCAAGAACCCTGAGGGTGCACTGCAGCAACTTGCTGTGAATGAGCGCATAGTGCAGCTGTGGTATACATAATGTTCCATTTGATTACTTTAAATTTGAAATACTTTGGCACTTACTTTCTAATTATCTGTTTTCTTCCTCTAGCTTCTGAACCAGTTTGAAAATACTGGCCCACCTCCGGCAGACAAAGAGAAAATCAAGACACTTCCTACAGTAGAAATAACAGATGAACATGTAGGTAGGTGTACTTCGGACCAGTAACCAAACACTCAGTTAATTTTTCTTCCCCATCAAATACATCAACAAATCATCTGCTGCAATTTTAATTTATGAAGCTTGTATCATTGTGTGATCGAATGATATAACTTGGTCACATTACAACTACGAGGTGGTTTTGTTCTTTCTGGGCTGATGCAAATATGTTATTTAACATTATGTTCTCTACAGCAAATATGGACATCATATTTGAATAAAGTAGTTGAACACATGAAATATTTATCCTTTGGTAGAAATTGGTTTGAAATTTGAGTTTCTCCATTTTTAAAAATTTTGTATGACTTCTGCATTCTGCTGGTTAACTTTCAGTAATGTTGAGGGTGGGTGCAAAAACAGCCTAATGTCTGCCTGTAGATACGAAACCGTGCAGTCTTTATTCAACTGCACTTTTTTCAGCCCCCTAACAGTGGGCTCTGGTTTATAAACCAAGTACTTAGCATGGGGGGGAAAATTGAATCAGAGATAGTA